GACTGACTTACAGGCAGATTGTGTGTCTAAGCAGAAGATTTTTTTTTCCTTAGATCAACTATTGAGTAATTATTTCAAAGTTTTTATTTTTATTTTTTCTAATTACAACGAACTCTAATGATGCTGATTTGACGTATAAATGTCATTTTATTTTTTATTACAAAAAAAAATCACAAACAGTCAGCTCTAATGAATACTCTGAATAATATTAGAAAAAATCTTCCATGGATTGAACGATTAGATGTAACTTGTAAAGCTGCACCAGCTCAAAAAGAATTAGATGTGAACGATTTACAACCAATCGATCCAGATGATGATTTTAAACGTGAAAATTTTTTGTAAGTTTTTATGTGTGGTGTACTTTGTTAAAAAAAACCCTGAATCATTTTTTTATGTAAGCTGATAAATTTCATCTTCACAATTCATCATCTTAGGTGTAAGTTACTTTATTAATACCGCCGATAAAGCGAAGACATTACATTGAAATTTGAGAATAAGTCTTGTGAATAGTGGTAATATATAACTGCCATGTTATTCATTGTCTATTGATTTGGTTAAATTCACAAAATGCAGTCTTCTGACCTCCCTAAGCAACAATGCAAGCATGTTTGGGATGCGGTTCTCACCATCGAAATGCAAAATATTGCTTCAAGATTGCCTTGCATGGGCACCTGAACAAGTGATTGGGAGTGAGGTAATTGAGTGTATTAACCGCTTCACTTATCATGAGAATCTCATCAGTGTTGATGGCCTGGTGTCTGACGAAATCTCAACGCGGATACAGAAAGCTCGATTTGCATTTGACAATTTACGTCGTTTATGGCGTAGGCGAGATATCCGTTCGCTGACCAAAGGACGGGTGTAGTGAGCAGTAGTTCGCTCCGTCCTACTATACGGATGCGAAACATGGCCGTTAAGAGTAGAGGACTTCCGTAGGTTACTAGTCTTCGATCATCGATGTCTCTGAAGCATTGCTCGTGTATCCTGGGACAACCGTATAAGCAAAGCTGTCGTTAGGAAACGAGTTCTAGGTACGGCAAATCAATAGATGAAGCACTGAAACTTCATCAGTTGAGGTAGTTGGGACATAAGTTACGTACGGCTAACCACCAATTGCCTCGACGAGCTATGTTTTGTGTTGTAGGAGTAGGTTGGAAGAAAGTTAGGGGCGGCCAAACCAAAACATGGCACAAATCCATGAAGTCACTGACAAGTGGACTGAGTCATGTTGGTAGATGTAGGCTATCTGGTTGGGGTGCGCGAGACGATAGTCACCAATGGTTAGAAACCTTGAATGACATGGCTCAAAATCGTTTGCAATGGCGCAGGTGCAACCAGTCTGTGTTCTCTCTGAAATTCTAATCTGCATTGCTCATAATCTCTATCTTTCTCCTTCTAAATTTATCTTACTGAATTATACTTTCGAATCATATCTTTGCTCCCTAATCTTATCCATTACTGCTAATACTTCTATTATTGCTATCACTGTTGGATTTGAACTGACAGTTGCGTCTCTGTGCTGATGGGGCATGGCAACCTGAACTGATGTACGAAGTTCTGCGTTGTATCTGTCTGTGTCTGTTTGTTTGGTCAAATTCACTAATATCAGTGCATATCGTCAAAGTTCCATTTGTTATGTTCTGTTTAAACATATACATACATATAAATCACTGGTAACCCTCGATTGTTTTATTCTCGTATGTTTTCATGCGTTTTCCATTCGTCTATTAACCAAAGGACGAGTCTACTGCGCAGCAGTTCTCACTGTCTTACTTTATGTATGTGAAACATCATAGGTTACTAGTATTCGATCATAGGTGTCTTCAAAGCACTCCTCATGTATCCTGCGACCAACAAGTAAGCAATGCTGCTGTTAGGAAACCAAAACTAGGTAAGGACTGTAGATCAATTGATGAAGTATTGGAACTTCTTCAGTTGAGGTGGTTGAGACCAACCATAGGCTGGAAAAAAGCTAATGGTGGCATAAGTCCATGGGGTCACTAACAACTTGACTGATTCATGTTGGTAGGTGTAGACTACCTGGTTGGGGTCCGCAACACAATCCTAACCGGTGGTTAGATACTTTGGATGATATGGCTCAAAATCGTTTGCAGTGGTGCAGGTGCATCCATTTTCTTGTGTTCTTGCTAATCCTAAACTAGTCATTAGTTTCAGATAGTCAAAATCATTTAAAGTGTACAATTTTTTTTCCTCATAGATTTCAATGTTTCATGTAACAAGTAAACTATGTTATCATGTTTAGTGTTTACTTATATTGTTTCTTTAATAAGACGAGGTATTTGGAATAGATAAAATCTTGTGGAGTAATATTTATATTTGTAATCAATCAAAAAATGAGTAGTATGTTATTATAACAAGTTATTTTGCATTCAGTCAGTCACTTACAACGTAGGACTTTGTACGTAAGTCTATCACTTCAGGTTGCCCCATATATCATTAGCACAGAGACGCCATTGTCAATTCATATCCTATAGTGTTAGAGATAGGGGAAATGTTAGCGATAATGGAGAAGATTAGTGTTCTAAAATATTATTCAAGAAGTTTAATTCAGCGAGATAACTTTAGAAAGAGAAAGACAGAGATGATGAGGAATTTACAAGGTTAGAATTTGAGAGAACACGGTGAACGATGAATGCATCTGCGCCATTTCAAATGATTTTGATCCATGTCGTTCAAGGTCTCTAACCGTCAATTATTATCGTCTCGTGGACCCCGAACAAGTAGTCTACATCTACTAATATGACTCAATTCACTTGTTATTGACTTCATGGATTTTTGCCATGTATTTTGCATTAGTGTAATGATACTAATTAGCGTCGCTGACTTAACAAGTACAGATTTATGCACTGATCGTTGAATCAAACTATTTTTAAAGACTAGTAATTTAATTATGTCAAACTTTTGATCGGAAAACCCATTTAAAAATGCTACATAAAAAAGAACAAATTTCATTCTGCGCCCGAAATCCGTAGTTCTGTTTCTTTCTTCATGTGAATCATAAGTAATTATATGTATAAAGAACTCTACCTGGATCCCTTCTTGGGGTTATTGCCGGTTCCAAGCCCGGATAAAGGAGGAGGGTCGGGCATGAGGGGTTAGCGACCTCCCCCTATCACATAGAAATCCAACTCGCCAAATAAGAAAAACGCTAATCAGAAAAATCACTCGCTGATTGGCGGTCTATGCTCTATTTGCGGTTACAGGCGTAAGTAATATGTATAAGGCTTTCAACGATTTACCTGTATGTCACCAATTCAAATGTTTAGTAGTTTCAAGAATATGTGACAATACTCTGATTCATTATGAAAAGAAATATGATCAAAACATTAAGATCCAAGTGAAATTATTTTGTTAGATAAAGTCAATTAAGACAACAGCACACAGATGAATTGACAGATCGACTTATCATTCTGTTAATGGGGATTCACAAATCTTTGAAACAAAGAAACCCCTTATAGATAAGTTTCATATTAATATCGCTTAGGGTCTGTGTATTTGTATTGTCTTACAAATAAACTGAATACTCTAGATCGATTTTCTCCAAAGACATAAGTTTGCATGCTAGCAGTTCAAGGACGTGCATTGGATGTACATATCAAGTACCATTTGACTTCGTCCTGGTACTGTCTAGTTTTCTCTTCTATCTTTTCAATTTTATTTTATATGGTGAACATAATGAATACTGTCAATCAGTCAGTCAGTCAGCCAGCTACAATGTAGAACTTGTTACATACGTACATCAGTTCAACTTGTCATACCATACCACACTAACGCAGAGAGATGGAATTGTCAATTCGAATACCATTGTGGTAATGGTAATAGAAGTATTATTAGTAGTCTTGGAGAAGACTAGGGACCGAAGAAATGATTTAAGGAGTATATCTCAGTAAAACAAAACTTAAAAAGCGAATAAGAAAGGTCATAAGGAATTTGTGAAAAGACTAAAAGTGGATGCATCTGTGCCATTGCAAACGATTTCGAACCATGTTATTCAAAGTCTATAACTTACTGATTATGATTGTCTTGTGAACCCCAAGCAAGTAGTCTATACCAACTATATTGAGGTTTAGCCGCCCCTAACTTTCTTCCACTCCAGCCGTACATTAAACAGCATCGCTCGTCGAGGTAGTCGGTTGTTAGGCGTACATAACACATGTCTTAACCATCTTAGTTGATAAAGATTCATTGCTTCACCATTCGATTTTGCTATCTTTACTTAGTATTCTGTTCCTAACTGTAACATTGCCTACTCGGTGATCACAGAATACACAAGCAATTCTTCGAAGACATCTACAATCGAATACTAGTAGCCTGCAAATATCCTCTATTCTTTAACATCCGTAATGTAGAACAGAGCAAACTGCTGTTCGGTAAACTCGTCCTACGATTAGCATACCGATATCTCACCTACTTCGGAAGTAACTCAAATTGGCAAAAGCCAATCGAACCTTCTGTATCCGTGCCGAGATTTCATCAGACACCAGCGCATCAGCACTGATGAGACACCTAGGATAAATGAAACGGTCAACACGCTCATCTACATCACTCTCTATCACAATTGAATACACTTAACTAGTGTTAATTTATTCAGTCGAATTCTTCTTTTATATTGTCTCTATTAGTGGTGTTCTCGTTATAATCATTTTATTTCTCTGTCTGTCTGTGTATTTTTTTTCAGTTATCGTATCGCTCAAGCTGCAGTGCTTATAGCTCTGCCTAAATTGCATGCTTTAGATGTACCAACAAAACGTCCATCAGATTATTTTGCTGAAATGGTCAAAACAGATGATCATATGATTAAGGTGAGTTGATTGTGTTGTTATTATCTCTGTTGCGTGATTGGTCAATGGTGATGATGTCACGGCGGTTATAGTCACACACAGATACACAATTGATTTACTGTGAACCATTGGTACAAAGGTTACTTATCTTGAGAGTCTCATCAGTGCCGATGACCTTGTGACTAACGAAATCTCAGCTCGGATACAGAAGGCTCGATTGGCTTTTGCCAACCTGCGTCACTTATGGCGAAGGCGAGATATCCGTTTGCTGACTGAAGGACGAGTGTACTGTGCAGTAGTTCGCTCCGTCTTACTTTATGGCTGTGAAACATGGTCAGTGAGAGTAGAAGATATTCGTAGGTTACTGGTTTTCGATCATAGGTGTATCCGAAGCATTGCTCGTATATCCTCGGACACCCGAGTGAGCAACGCTGTTATTAGGAATCGGGTGCTAGGTAAGAATGGCAGACCAATAGACGCAGTAGTGACACTTCATCAATTGAGGTGGTTGGGACACGTGTTGCGTATGCCCAACCACCGACTGCCTCGACGAGCTTTGTTTTGTAGTGTAGGAATAGGTTGGAAGAAAGTCAGGGGCGGCCAAACCAAAACATGGCACAAATCCATGAAGTCATTGACGAGTGGACTTAGCCATGTCGGTAATTGTCGACTACCTGGTTGGGGTCCGCGAGATGATAATAATCGATAGTTAGATAACCTGAATGACATGGCTCAAAATCGTTGGCAATTGCGCCGGTGCATTTATTCTTTGTGTTCTCTCGAATCCTAATCTTCTGGATTCTTCAACCCTTCTAGTTTTGACTTTCTAAACTTTTCCCACTGAATCATACTTCTTGAATAATACCTTCTAACCCTAACCTCTCCGATTATTTCTAATAACTTTACTACCTCTTCTACTATTGGATTTGAATTGACAATTACATCTCTGTGCTGATGTGGTATGGCGAAATGAACTGATGTACTTACGTACGAAGTTCTACGTTGCATCTGACTGACTTACTGACTGATTGGTACAAAGGAACACCTAGATATTTATATATATATTTATATATATATATATATATCCACACAAATCATTGAATTTGTATGTTGGTGTAAGATACTACTAGTTTGGTTGCTCAAATCAAAGAAGGTGGTCTTAGGGGGCCATACCCCTAGCCTTTGACCCAAGTCTGATCCACAAGGCAATGGAGAGGGTATGTGAGGTTATCCAGTCACATGGTAGCCGGTCATCAACGATAACTTCATACGCTATCCGTTCTGTCAAGAGCCTGGAGCCTATATGTACCGCCATTGGTTTGGAATGAGGAAACGCTCGCTATTAGTTATCAATTAATTAACAACTGAAAACCACAAAAATATTACGCGTGCACGTAAACACGTCATTTGATATGCTTGACCTATATTACGAGTTTACCTTAGTCGGAAAACGAGAGCGAAGATCGAGGATCCGTCAACACGACATGCTACTCTAATCCGAGTATCTCAAACCCCATCGAGTAAAAGAAGAAGACTTGATATGAAGTAGAACCTGCATTCTACCAACATCTAGAAAGTACGAGGTCCGAGAGTCCAGTAGAGAATCAGGAACCCGGACTAAGGATCCGGGTCCAGGTCGTAAAACGTTACAGACAATGCGTATTTATACAGTTGGGTTGAATAGAAAACAACCTTTGAAGTAGGTGACATTGATAGTTAGGCCGATCATATTATTGACCAGTAAGAATTGATCAATAGAATTAGACTTTCAAAAATAATTCCCTTAGGATATTTAATGAATCTCCTAATAAATAATATTTTTGATCTGATGAGTAATCAACCCGTTACATGTTGAATTATTCCTTGTAATGCAAGAAAAAGGTTAAGTTCACGCGCTAAAAGTCGAACTAGTGTTATAAGTTAGGTTTATCATACTACATACAGTTTTCGTCACTAAATGACACCCAGTTTTATTGATTCAAAAGCTTCGGGTTACATAATCAACATGAAACGGAAGTTCTAAGCTCAGTTTTTTTCAAATCAGAGTTTAGAGCTTTCATTACGAAATGACATCAGTTATGATGCAATGATTTGTCATTCTACGGTTTACTTACTAAATAGATGTATAGTTAAGATGTAGAGTGAGAGCTAGAAAAATATTATTGAAAACGTCATCAGTTGCGGTGGTTGGGACATGTGTTACATGTATGCCTAACCACCGACTACGACGGCGAGCGATGATGCCTGATGTAGGGATAGAGGCGGCCAAACCAATACATGGCAGAAATCCATGAAGTCACTGACAAGTGGACTGAGCCATACTGGTAGGTGTAGACTACTTGGTTGAGGTCCGCAAGACAGTGGTAACGGATGGTTGGAGACCTTGAATTATATGGCTCGAAATCGTTTGCAATAACGCAGATGCATTCATTCTTTGTATTCTCTCAAATTCTAATCTTCTGAATTCCTCATCACCTTTCTCCTTTTAAATCTATCTCACTGAATTATACTTCTCGAATAATTTCTTCGAATCCTAGTCTTCTCCATTACTGCTCATACTTCTACTACCTCTGCTACCACTATGGAATTTGAAGTAACAGTTGCATCTCTGTGATAATGGAGTATGGCAGCCTGAACTGATGTACGTTTGTACGTACATATGTACGAAGCTCTACTTTGTAACTGACTGAGAAAAGAAGAATATTATTATACTATTATTATCTCGCTTCACAAGATACTACTGATAACACATTGAATCCCAACAAGTAGTTTAATATACGATTTGCCTTGAGAGAGTAGTTATGCTTGGTAATTTTGCATAAGCCTCATCTTGAATTCACTTCTCAACTCCGTCATAGAAATTTCTACTGATTTCAAACATTTTAAGGACACTGTGTTGTCAATTTCTACTTCGTTATTTTATAACATACATGTTATCTATAGTGGGTGTTTACATTTCACACAAAATATATGAGGCGTTATCTTAATTCTGATTGGTGTTCACTCAGGGCTATCAGTATAAAGTATACTTTTACCGTAATGGTTTTTTTAAAAAGATACTCTTTATCCTCATGGTATTACTACGATAACATGATCTGGGTGACCGAATTTATATTAGTACACAGAGACTAGAGTAGATTACACAATTCACAACCGAAAAAAGAGAACCAGAATATAAGCAATGGACATTTTATTCCACACAGTCAGTCAGTCAGCTACAACGTAGAACTTCGTACGTATGTACATCAGTTCAAGTTGCCACACCACGTCGAATTGTCAATTCAAATCCCACAGTAGTACAGGTGGTATAAGTATTAGCGGTAGCGCACAAGATTAAGGTTCGAAGAAATTATTCAAGAAGTATAATCCAGTGAATGAATGCACCTGCACCATTGCAAACGATTTTGAGCAATGTCACTGTGTTAGTGGGACATAGATAGAATTAAAGCATGACTACGTTTCTGCGCGCTTATTGGCTAATTTCCTATCCAATCAGCGCCTGATCTATTCTTGGAGAACAGGGTAGAAGATTCTCGTACTGTTAGCTGCGTGCTGATTGGTTAAATCTAATCCAGCCGATCACGTGAATTTCTATCCAGAAGCATTCTCATGTAAATGCTATAAATAGACTAACGTTGTATCTATTTTTGCCTTCTTCGCCTTCGCCATCATCCTTGGCTTCTTATTCCATTTAACCTTACTATTTGGAATATAATCTTTCCCTGTTCAACCGTGTTTTGATTCTTGGGAACTTGTCCAGTGTATTGTGGTCAGAGAATACTAAGCAATAGGATTTAGCCGGGAATTATCTAAGCAAGCGTTACAACACACTGAAAGTCTCCAACCATCGGTTACCATTGTATCGCGGATCTCAACCTGGTAGTAGTCTACACCTACTGTTGTGACTCAGTCCACTCTTCAGTGAGGTCATGGATTTGTGCCATGTTTTGGTCTGGCCGACTCTAGCTTTCTTTCATCCTACTCCTACACCACAAAACATCGCTCGCCGAGTCAGTCGGTGATTAGGCATTCATAACAGATGTCCCAACCAACTCGATTCCATATATAATTGTAAACAGTCACTTACTCACTGATCTTGCAGCGGAAATCGACAGAACGTGCAAATGAAATCACATATATTTTTACATTCGATAACTGTTACGCCTGCACGTAAACACGTCAACTTGATATGCTTGAACTATTACGAGTTTACCTAGTCGGAAACGAGAGCAAGGATCAGGTGACACGACATGGTACTCAAATCCAATTATCCTAACCCCTATATTTAGTTAAAATAAGAAGACGTGATATGAAGTGGAACCTGTATTCTACAAGCATCCAGAAAGTACGAGGTCTCAGTGCAGAAGAGAATCAGGATCCTGGACTAGGGATCCGGGACCGGGTCTTGGTTATGGTCATAAAATGTAACAGATAATGCGTATTTATACATTTTGGTCGAATAGGAAACAGCATCGGAGTCTATGACATTGAAAGTTAAGACGACCAATAGGAAGTAACATTTGAACTGACATTGACAATCAGGACAACCAATAAGAAACAACATTAGATTGGAGCATGTGACATTGATATCTACTAGGACGACCATAAAATTGACCAGTAGAAATTAACCAATAGAAATTAAGCAGTAATTCTTTTAGGATATTGAATGAATATCCTAACCCTAACCAATCGCCTTTTTCATTTTACTTACTACCTAACACATACAACATGTTTTTTAAATGTTGTTTAGGTTAAAAAATATTTAATTGAAACAAAACAAAAATTAGCATTACGTGAACGTGCTAGACAAATTCGTGAACGACGTAAATTTGGCAAACAAATACAACAAACTATTAATCAAACACGTAAAGAAGAAAAACGTAAATTAACTGAAGCTGTAAAAAGTACATGGAAAAAGACGGGTAAATAATTTTTTGCTTACTCTTGTTTGTCTGTCTGTCTGTGTATGTGCGAGTGGGTGTGTGTGTGTTTGTGCTGAAGCAAAGGTTCATGTAAAATAAGTAAGTTATTGTTGTGTCCTAACAACACGTAGTGTCAGACAAGGTTGTTTACTCTCATCCTTTCTCATTCTCCTGGTGGTCGACTGGATGTTTATGAAGAGAGGTCAACATATGGAGGGAAGCAGGGAATACATTGAACAGCTCGGATGTAGCCGAACCATCTAGACATTGCAGATGATCTAGCTCTTCTGTTGCACACGCAACAACAAATGTGAAGAAGAAAAAGGTCAGTGTAGCAGAAGCCTCAGCAGCAGCAGCAGGTGTCTCCACATGTACAAAGGGAAAAGCAAGATTCTCTGATACGACATAACATACACCAACCAAATTATACTTGATAGGGAAGCATTGTAAGATATAGAAACCGTTACATACTTGAGCAGCATCATTGATGAACAAGGTGGATCTGATGCTGATGAAAAGGCATGAATTGGCAAAACAAGGGCAGCATTTCTGTAATTGAAGAACATCTAAAAGTCGAAACACCTATCAACGGACGACAAAGTCATTAATTTCAATACATACGTCAAGGTGGTTCTTTTGTATGAAGCAGAAACTTGAAGAACCATGTAAAGGACATCATCCGGAAGTATTTATTAACAGTTGTTTACGCAAGATACTGTGGTTCGGTTGGCCAAACAACTTTAGCAACAACCTACTGTTGGATAGAACAAATCAGATTCCAGCAGAGGGAGAAGTCAGGAATAAGCGCTGGAGGTGGATCTGATACATATTGCGTAAATCATAAGGCAAGCCCTTACTTGGGATCTTCAGGGCCAAAAAAGAGGAGGACCAAGTAACACATTACTCTAAGAATTGAAGATGGGCATCAAAAGAACGAACAGCGGTCGGGTAGAACCGGAAGGCAAGACCCAGGATATAGTTGACTGGAGAATGCTGGCCGGTGGCCTATGCTTCTTTTGAGGGTTACAGGCGTAAGTAAGTAAAGAAGTGAATGTCCTAACACCGACATTCTTTGAGCAACGAATACTCACTAATAACTGGGAGGCTGCTACTCTATGCTTGTTGATTAACCCAGTACTAACCTGGCTCCAAACTGTGAGGGAAAACACAAAACCGATGATTATCAGACATTCCTTTTATACATATACATAACCAAACCGTTGTTGAGTAGGAAAGATTGTGAAGTATTAAACTGTAAACCGAAAATGAGCAGAGTCAATCGTACAAGTGAAGTTTATGATGAAAGAAATATAATATAAACCTGACCATCTAGTTACGTAATAACTATACAGTAAGGCTGTGTGAACGCTAGTTGTTAGTGGGACATAGATGGAATTGAAGCATGACTACGTTGCTGTGCGTTGATTGGCTAATTTCCTACCCAATCAGCGCCTGATCGATTCTTAAAGAACAGGGTGGAAAATTCTCGTGTTGTTAGTTGCACTCTGATTGGCTAAATCTAATCCAGTCGATCAAGTGAATTACAATCCAGAAGATTCTCATGTAAATACTATAAAGAATCTAACGTTGTATCTATTTTGCCTTCGCCTTCGGCTTCCTATTTCCAGTTAATCTTGCTATTTTGGAATATAATCTTTTCCTGTTCAACCGTGTTTTTGATTCTTTGGAACTTGTCCAGTAGTGTATTGTGGTCAGAGAATACTAAGCAATAGGATTTAGCTGGGAATTATTTAAGCAAGCGTTACAACACTAGTAATCCATAAAAATCCGTTCTTTAAATTATTATTCTCATTAAAGGGTTGTGGAGATTGATGAGTTTCATTAGAATCTTCAGCTGATCAGTGTTAGACCATCATTGGAAATCTGGAAACACTAGTTGGTCGTTTCGTCGTAGTATTTAGCACCTTCGACCCTGCAAGTGGAAGTGGAACTTAGAGCTTTCGATTCTGTGTCGTTCGGTGTGGAGCAGAGCTTTATCCTTCACTCGGAAAGTGTAACTCACGACCGAATTTTCAAAAAGATAGTCTTTTACAATAGTTATTATTTCTATTTCGTTACTGCCCCCCATTTTCACATACATTCACACAATAAAACTGTGTGAACGCTAGTAATCTATAAAAATCCGTTCTTCAACTTATTATTCAAGGGTTGTGGAGATTGATGAGTTTCATTGAAATCATGAGCGGATCAGTGTTAGATCATCATTGGAAACCTGGAAACACTAGTTGGTCGTTTCGTTCCAGTGTGCACCTTCGACCCTGCAAGTGGAAGTGGAACTTAGAGCTTTCGATTGTGTTTCGTTCAGTGTGAAGGACAGGTATCTCTTTCACTCACAAAGTGTAACTCACGACCGAGTACGCACAGAATTTTCAAAAACATAGTCTTTTACAATAGTTATCATTTCTATTTCGTTACTCCCCTCCCTTATTTTCACATACATTCATAATGTTCTTATCTATTTATTAGGAATTAATCGTGAAGAGAAACTCGAACAAATATTAAATGAATTTAAAAAAGATTATGAACAACCAAAAAATGATAAATCCAACGAGAAAGTCTCCTCCTCGTCATCAACACCAGCGAAAACTTATCAAACAGCTAAAGATTATGCAAATCGACGAAAGTAAGCGGAAATATCGTCATGATAAATTATTGTTCTATCCTTAACTAACCATTGACCAAGAATATATCACGTGACAAGTACAAACATCAACCAATCAGAAATTATATTTCAGCTCTTAATTCTTTTTGGTTCACAGCTCGATCACTTCGTCCTGTCTGTATCCTACTTCTTAATTACAGAAGTCCAGTAGCTCTAGCCCCCACAAAATTCGTTATGTTTTTTAGGAGCAGACATAGTTTACATTTATGTGTAATAAGCAAACCAGACAACACTATATCATTGTATTTAGGAATACACGAGATTCAGTAACAACACGTTTAAGTTGCGAAATTCAGCACAGACAAGCATGAAAATAACCTGTATAATTCAATTAGACAGGCGGTAAACATTCTCATGGACCGATCAATGTTTGACCATTACTGAAAATATAGGAACAGTAGTGGACCGTTCCGTCCTAGTTTGGTGCTCCTCAGTAGTGCGCATTCACGCCCCATCCGCATGTGGGAATCAAACCCAGTGTAGTAAAAGAGAACACAGGTGAGGGCAACCGAATTGTATTTAACAAAAATTACAGTTACTCAGTAAAATAGTAAAAACCATATCGTAAACGGTTAGTTTGCAAATCTTCAATCCATTGTTTGACATTTCACTATTCATGCGTTTCATACAAATTCCATTGTGTTCCCACTCTTCCTTTCTTGATCTTCCCTCATCTTCTGCTGCCAGACATTACGTTTACATTCGCGTCATATACTACTTATAAGTAGCGCGCACCACACTAGGATCTCACGCCCGAAACTTTTAACTTCTAAACGAACGAGATGACATCCAATGGTATTAATGTCTAACTTCAATGCATCTTTGATCTTGTGTTAACCATCAAGAAAATACAAACGGTAGAGTTGTACCGTAAAAAACTAGTTATTCACAAGTAATACAATTCTTTATCGTCGTATTTTTCTTACGTTGGCAAATAACATGGCCACTAACAATAGAGTATATTCGTAGTTTACTGGTTTTCTACCATAGGTGTCTTTGAAAGATCGCTCGTATATCCTGGGACTATGGAGTAAACAATGCTGTTATTAGGAAACGGGTACTAGGTAGATATAGCAGATCAATAGATAGAGTACTGAAACTTCATCAGTTGAGGTGTTTTGGACATGTGTTACGAATGCCCAACCATCAACTACCTCCACGAGTTGTGTTTTGTGGTGTGAGGAATTTTAGGGGTGGCCAGAACAAAACATGGCACAAATCCATGAAGTCACTGACAAGTGGACTGAGCCATATAAATGAGTGTAGACCTACGTGGTTGGGTTCCGCAAGATGATATTAACCAATGGTTAGAGACGTTGAGTGGCAGTTCGAAATCGTTTGCAATGGCGCATGTGCATCCATTGTTTATCTTTCTTCATGATTTCTTAAATTTATTTCTACTGGATTATACTTGTTGAATAATATCTTCAAACCGTAATCTTTTCGACTACCACTAATACTGCTACTACTATGGGATTTGAACTGACAGTTGCTTCTCTATGCTAATGTGGTATGACAACTTGAACTGATGTACGTACCTGCGAAGTTCTACGTTGTAGCTATATGAACTAACAAGCGTTTCAGGTTTTCCACATTGTTAGAAAACATTTACACTTTTATTTTCCTATTTGTTTCAAGGATTAATCAAAAACGTGTCTACAAAAATAATAAATTCGGTCATGGTGGACAGAAAAAGCGTCAAAAACGCAATACATCTGAATCGGTCCATGTTGGAGCACGTCGTGATTTTAGTCAGTTGAAACATCAAGCTACTCCGAATAAAGCGAAACAAATCCGTTCAAGTTATCGGAAATTAAAGCAGAAACGTAAGAAAATGACAAAAAAACGTGGTTAATGCACGAGAGAAGAAATTTTAAACTTTGTATATTCTTCATTTGTAAAAATCACATATATTGAATGTGTTCTTTTGTCTCTTCAAATTCTTTTTGACGATGGCTTAATATTATGTTACACATTTTTGAAACCATGAATCGATCAATGTTAGACCACCATTAGAAACCTGCAAGTAGCACTGGACGGCCGTTTCGTCCTGGTATGGGACTCACAACTGGCAGTGCGCATCCACGACTCCTGCACCCCTCAGGATTCGAACCCAGGACCCTCGGTATTGTGCGCGAACGCCTAACCATCGGACCACTGGGCCGGTATCTAACAGTCTTAATGTCTAACTTGATCAAATTCACGGAGTTGCGCAACCTCATACAGAGTCTTCGGTAGACACCGCCTACACCCGAACAGGTTGAACTTCACTGGTCACGTCTTCCTACTAGAACTCGGAGAAGATTCGTCATGAAGCTAGTCACTAGTGAGCATTTATATTATGTGGCAGTTTATTTATGTAAGGCAGCTGAAAAACCTTCTTTATCAAGATTTCATACTGCATGTCAGCAAAACTGATAACAGTTGTAGGATTCGAGCTTAGCTCGCAAACTTGTCTATTCTGATCGCAAGCAAACTATGGAATTAAAATTCTACAGCGAACTGATCACTAGGCAATAACTAGTGACATGTTTGTCTGCCGATCGAATTCTTTTTGCCAAGTTATAGTATGCAAAATTATTGCAATACAACATTGCGTGAACTACGTTTTGGTGTAAGGTAGTTGAACATTGTTGATGGTAAAAACCATGTAGCGAAGTTTTGTGTTGGTTGATACTCATCGTAAATCTTGATTTTTAACGATTAAAAACGGCTCACTCGACTTCTATCTGGACAACTTGGTATCTTCAAGCCAATAAGTGGGAATGAGGAAACGTACGGGCTATTCTCCGAAAAATAAGCATTACGCTGTTGTCAATACTTAGTTATTGAAATGTCAACCTATAATATTCTAGTTGAAGGCTTTCATTTTACTTTTCCCACTCATAAATTACCATCTAGTTAGATTTGCCGCCAAATGCCTTGGTACAGACGATTCTCATATAGCTGGTTATGCGTGTATAGCCACTACCACGGAAGTCCTACCTTCTCTTAGTATAGGTCTTGTGTATGAATTCGAAAACACTTAAATGAAGTTACTGGATATGGATGGTCCCATCTAGGAGAGTTGGATCACCGTGATTCCGAACCAATGATGCCCATAGTCTCCATAATCCTTAAGGGGACGAGTGGCGTATGAACGTGACCGGTTACCATGTGACTGCATCACCTCCACATTGCCTTGTGGAGATTAGACTTTTGCGTCAAACACTCATAGAGTAACCCCCCTACCCTACCCTAACACACCTGCTTTGGTTTGGACATCTGAATAGTAGTATATATACGCATCAACTGCAAATATCATAATAAAAAAAAGGTTAACGGTATGGATCCTTTTTGGATAGAAATCAACTACATTACAAGAGAGCTGACAGTTGACAGCAGACAGAGAGAATCATACATAATCTGTAAGTACGCTATGAATCTCTACACACACCTCAAGCTCGACGTGACCAATTCCCACATATGTAAGGACACACCGAGAAAAACTATGCATCAATCAAACTATTGTATTTTCTTATTATATATATACAGAAAATACATTAGCGAATATAATATTGTTTCTTAAATTCCCAACTATACAACAGCAACAACAATAATAAACGAAAGATTTGTACATTGTAATTAATTACAAATTGTTAAGAGAGTTTTTTTTTAAATCAATAAGTAAGCTGAAAAATAGTATAACGCCGGGGATATAAGTATACAACAATAGGGGAAAATAATCTGGTCACGCAAAAAAAAATGATTCAAACTTGGGAATTGTTTCACAGTAGAGGAGAGGAGAGAGAGGTATATATTCATAAATCCTGCATAGATTTATATCTGAAAAAACGGGGAGATAGAAATTGCATTGCATTTCTGTGATAATTTAATTTTTAAGAAAATTTGGTTAAAATATTCCATTATGGTGGATACTACTCGTAACGTGGGTTATAAGTAATATACAGCGACGTATAGCCCAGAAGAGTGTCGGATCGGAATGCAGAAAACATGACGAACTGAAGACATGTGAAAGTAGACAGTCAGTAATATGCTTGTTTTGAAAACAAACAGTCTGAAGATTAGGTGTACGTGTTTTGTTTAAAAAACAAACTGTGTCTTCTCTTTAAATGCACCACTAATCCACCTGGTCTCAACGCATTCGTTCATTACGACACACCGTGAATACACATTGAAAACATCAACGAACCATTGTTAGACCACCACCATTAGATACGTGGAAGAATCACTGAAAGGCCGTTTCTTCCTGGTATGGGACTCATCAGCAGTGCGTACCCACGACTCCTGCACCTCGCAGGACTCGAACTCAGGACCTTAGACCTTGCGTGCAATCGGTTTACCTCTGGACTACTGGGTCGTCATCCAGGAAGTTGCGCGACCTCACCCATTTGTCTTCGGCGGTTACTGCCTACGTGCGACAGGGTTGAATCCCACTGGTCACCGTGAATAGATTAGGATTGAAAAATGATGCACTTGGAATATTCTAGTGATAATCTTATCAAAAAGCATCCAAGTTTTAGCGAATCAGCTCGTCTAGACAATCGTTACAAAGTAGCGTCTGACGGTTTATAAATCAGAAGGTGAACTCGAAGTGATGAATACGTTTATTTGGGACACACCACAAAGAGAAGCGGAGAAACAGCGAATAAAACGAAAGAAGCGACGTGAATAGGAGAAGGCTGTTGAGCCAACTCAAAGATATGGAGCGTGACTAAGAATATATAGTCAAACAAATATAAGACAGACATGCGACAAGCGAAATAGGCATACATGAATAAAAGCGACGAATGGTTGACAAGGTCAAATGACAAGTGGAACACGTCACGTGAGCCCATACAAACCAGACAATAATAAGAACGAATGGTACATATAAGTTGTTGCTGCGCGAATGGCTTGGTTAAATAAATTAATCGAAAGGGCTTAACCAAGTTAGATGTAAGCGAACTAGAATATTATATGTGAAGGCACTAAATTGCTTCTTTTGTCTGCACGTTTCGTCTAAACAAACAAACAGTGTTTCCACTTGAAACACACCACTAAACCACCTGGTACCGACGTGATGTGATATGATTCACGAAGTATAATCTAATTGAATAGATTTAAAAAGAGGTCTTGAGGTCATGCGAAAAGATTAAGAATGGATGCACCGGCGCCATCGCAAACGATTTTGAGCCATATCATTCAAGATCTTTAACCACTGGTTAGTATCATGTTGCGGACCCCAACCTGATATTCTACACCTACCAGCATAGCTCCGTCTACTTTTCAGTGACTTTATGGATTAGTGCAATGTTTTGGTCTGGCCGCCCTTAACTTTCATCCAGCTTACCCCAATACTACAAAACACCACTCGTCAAGGCAGTAGATAGTAGGGCATTGCACTAATCCTTCGAGTCACTGGCAACTAGACTGAGCCATAATGTTGGTAAGAGTAGACTACCTGGGGTTGAGGTCCGCAAGGTGATAGTAATCGGTGGTTAGAAACTCTGAGTGACGTGGCTCAAAACCGTTTGCAACAGCGCCGGTGCATCCATTCATTGTTTTCTCCAAAATTCTAATCTTCAGAATTCCTCATCACCTTATCTTTCCCTTTTTTTAAATTTATTTCAATGAATTATACTTCTTGAATAAAATCTTCGAACCCTTATCTCTCCAATTACTGCTCATAATTCTACTACCTGCACCACTATGGGATTTGAACCGGCGATCGCATTTTCCTCTATACGCATTTACCCGATTGTACAAGTATCAGATATTCGCTTTCGGTCGTCTCAATAATTTGTAACACAACATCCACTGTACTTAGAGGGAATAAATAGAACTCGTTCGGCAAAGTGGCTCAATACACATGGTGGTCACTGTTCATTCTCTTAATTGTATCAGGTCATTCAGAGGACTTCTCTAGAAAATGAATCAATCAATCACTTTAAAATAGACGCAGTTGAGTCAACAACTCAAACTTACCATAGATGATGGGTTAATCTCAGTGATAATACTACTACTAACAACATTATCAGTAGTACTAGTAGTAGTAGTAGTAGCAGCAACAGAATCAGTCGTCATTGAATTCGTTGTGATTATATCCAAATTAGTACTATTGTTGATGAATTGACTTGTATCAAAGGTATTATGTGTATTCACTGAATGAACACCATTTGTATGGAATGAAGCAGTAAGTGTATTAAGAAGTGCCAAGGCATTTGTTAATGTAACATTATTATTCATGAAAGATAATTGATCAGTAGTAGTAGGAGTAGTAGTTGCGGTGGTGTTCACATTTGGAGTAGTTGAACAAGGTGTGTCTATCGATGGAGATGTTGTGAGTGTAGAACTGTTCAATAGACAATTTGAAAGTGATCTGTTTAAATTGGACAGAGCAGTCGATATCGATGACTGTGGGACACCAAGTAAAGGTGTTGAAGGAATGCGGAAAGATTGTTCCGTAGGCGCTAAGAATAAACGAACAAAGAAAATTTGAAAATAAGTAGAAATACAAGATTGGAATCATGAGTGAATTATTGTTAGACAACCCATAAGAAACCTGGACGCGCTGGACGGCCGTTTCGTCCTGGCATGGGGACTCATTAGTGGCAGTGCACATCCACGAATTCTGCTACTTGTGTGGTGCGCGCTACTTATAAATAGTATATGACGCGAGTGAAAACGTAATGTCTGGCAGCAGAAGATGAGGGAAGATCAAGAAAGGAAGATTGGGAACACAATGGAATTTGTATGGAACGCATGAATAGTGAAATGTCAAACAATGGATTGATGATGGATTGAAGATTTGCAAATTAACCGTTAACGATATGGTTTTCCTATTTTACTGAGTAACTCTGTAATTTTCGCTAAATACAATTCGGTTGCCCTCACCTGTGTTCTCCTTCACTACACTTGCAGTAATCGAACCCAGATAAAATGGTTTTGCGCAGGAATTTTAGTCTCTGGGCCTCCTGAGCCAGCATCCAATCGTGTAAGTGTGTAATTCTGAACAACCTAAGGTAGCGCGCAATCTCACCCATTTGTCTATGGTAGATACTGCCGATATTCGACAAGGTATAACTTCACTTGTCGCGTCTTCTGATTCAAACTCCGAAAACCTCACGAAGCTTGTCACTAATGAGCGACTGTCCAATTTTTCGCATTACAGGATTACGGAGATCGTTGTTTTACATTGGATGAGTCATTGTTAAATGCTAGGTCAGTGGCGCAGAGATTAAACGTCCTGGGTTCGAGTCCCGCGAGCAGCTGGAGTCGTGGATGCGCACTAGCGCTGATGAGTCGCATACCAGGACGAAATGATGTCTTAACAATGATTCATTCATGATTTCTATGTAAAACACCCATCTCCATAATTCTATGATGCTAAAATACAAAATTGTCAATAAGAAAGTCAGAGTTTTTCTTACTTTATTCAAACACATTAACATTCAGTCAGTCAGTCAGACGCAACATAGAACTTCGTACGTAAGTACATCAATTTATGTTGCCATACCACATTACAACACAGAGATGTAATTGTCAATTCAAATCCAATAGTAGAACAGGTAGTAAAGGTATTAGAAGTAATCGGAAAGGTTAGAATTAGAAGATATTATTCACGAAGTATGATTCAATGAGATAAGTTTATAAAGTCAAAACTAGAGGTGTTGAAGAATCCAGAAGATTAGAATTTGAGAGAACACAAAGAATAAATGCACTGGCGCCATTGCAAACGGTTTTGAGCCATGTGTCATTCAGGGTACCTAATCATCGATTATTATGATCTCGCGGACCCCAACCAGGTAGTCGACAACTACCGGAGATGACTCAGTCCACATTGATACAAATGGGCACTAAAATATTTACACACATCATACAAACTATTGAGTTTGTAAGTGGAGTGGCATACTGCCCAAACACCCAAAACAAAACAGGTGAGATATCCTTGGGATGCCGTTTCCTTAAGCTTTCAGCTCCAAAAGTCGAATCGAAAAGTTAGTGGAGTAATGTAAAATAATGTAGTTGTCTAATGGTAGCCGGTGACCAGCAGCAATAAGTCTATATGCCATTTGTTCAATCATGATCCTAGAGTTCACGTACACTACTGGTTCATCAGAATCAGGGTTTGTCAACTTCCCTCAGTGGATCATCCGTACCCGGCCCAAGCGTTAGTCATTTGCTTTTCATCCTCATAATTTTGTCAACAATGCATTACACAAGTGCTTAAACCGAAACAGTCGATCTTCTTAGGAGGCCATACTTCGAACTTATGACCCAAAAATTTAATCCAAAATGCAGTGGAGTAACGTGAGCAGATGCAATCACATGGTAGTCAGTCGGTGACCAACAATTTGTTTATACTCCATTTGTTCCTTGAGGATCATGGAGTACATATTCACTGCCAGCTGTTTGGAATAAGTTTTCTAACTGACGTAGGTGGATCCTCTGTACATAACATCAGCTTGGTTTAAGTGTTTGGATGTTCACTTTACGTCTTCGCAATTTCATGAACAGCATCCCTCTGGAACAAGAAGGCACTGAGTAGAATTCCCACGGTAGTGACCAAACACGCGTCGTCATATGAGAGTGTTAGCGGGACATAGATTGGATTAAAGCATGTTCCATACACGGCTGCGTTGGCGTACGCTGATTGGCTCTTTCGTATCTAATCAGCGCTAGTCAATACTGGAGGAACATTCTAGGAATTTTCTCACGTAAAAACTATGAATATACTAACGTCTTTTCCTTTTAAAACTTCTGCCTTCCTTCTAACCTCGTGGTTGGAACATAATCTCTTTACCTGTTCAACCACGTTCTGATATGGGAGAACGTCTCGAATGAAGGTGTCCGAGAATACTTTGCATTAGGAATAGCTGAGTTGTAATAAAGAGAGAATTATAACAGGGCGAAAGGAAGCAGGTTCTCTCTACTCTTGATTGTACCAGAGCATTTATGAGTTTTTCTGTTACCCTCTTAGTTGTTCACATTAAAAATAAACGTTAATATTGGGTAGAGTGGATTTAGTAAGTCGGCAAACTGTTTCACGTAAATATGAAGAGATTGACTGAATTATTTACAATGAAAATGTATTCTTTCTATAACTAACAGGGTTTGCAAAGAATTCTAATCGAAATTGTAAGAATTTTCTAATTAGATATACCGAAAGACAGTTACATTTTGATGTACAGATTTTAAATTTATCAAAAATTAACTGCTGATATTATCATTCGAAACTAAGTCTACAATTGTTTGTTTATGTAGTGGATACTACTCGCAACGTGGTTGATAAGTAGTATGTAGTGGAGTGTCGTTCATACGTTACAATCAGAAAGAATGTATGTATGGCGCGATCAGTATTTTGAAAACCAGAAGATATGTGATAGAAGATAGCCAATTATCTGTTTGGTTGCAAATGGAGGTTTGAAGATAAGGTGTGTAGATTTTGATAGCAAAACAGCATCTTTCTCTTATCTCAATACACCATTATTCCACTCGGTCTTGACATCTTTGCTCATTACACTTGTGATCATGACTACAAATAGAAACCTGAAAGCATTGGACGACCGTTTCCTCCTGGTATAGGACCTATCAGTGCGAATCCAGGATCCCGTCAGCGGGAATCAAACCCAAGACCTTCGATCTCGTGAGCAGACGCTTAAACATTCCAGTGGCTGTCTAACATTGATCAGTTCATGATTCCCATAAAATTCAATAATCTCCACGACTCTACACTAACAGATTCTTGGAATAAGCTTTTTTGTTACAGCTTTATTACTATTACTATTCAACTATCCGATCCGACGTAGGCTATGCAAGAACTATGAGGTATTCGTTTATAAAATGCAGAAGAAAATATGTGAATTCCTATTTGGAATTCTAGGTTCCTGTAATTTATCAGTAACCTTTTCGACTGCCGGTTAATACTACGCAATTACCTTGTCTACTATATACTATGGGACTCGCGCTTGATAATTTCATTGTTTTTATGCTAAAAATTAGGGTATAACTCCGCCGGGAAGCCCTTCTAGCGTTATTGCTGGTCCCAAGCCCGTGTATAAAGGAGGGGAGTTAGGCATGGGCTTAGCGACACCGTCGCGTAGAAATCCAACTCGCCAATTAGGAAACGGTAACCAGAAAAATAATTCACTGATCGGTGGACCATTTAGGGTAACAGGCGTAAGTTAGTAAGTAATTAGGGTATACGAAGTTGAATTGATTGATATGCATGTTACGTCTGCACATAAACACGTCAGCTTGATATGCCTGAACTATTACGAGTTTACCTAGTCGGAATACGAGATCGAAGATCGAGGATCCGGCATGCTACTCAAATCCGACTATCCCAACCCCCATATTGAGTGAAAATAAATAAAATACACAGCAGCCAATGACAGCCATGGATTTTCCTGGTGGGAATTGAAATCTCAAAGTCAACTGATCAGCCAAAGCTGGCAAAACGTGAAAACCAAAATACGGCATTATCAAGCGAATTTTTGGGATCTAACATCCCCAACACTCCTCCCCTTTTTAATAGCGTGTTCTCCTGGGGTCGACTTGCATCTTGACTATTGTTCGCCGCTGTCTGAGGGGATACCTTCGGGAACGAAGAACAGCTTGCTGCTGCGTTTCTTCTCGTGGCGGGGCTCTCGGTAGGTTCAAGGTATCAAGCAAGATGTCAAGGGGAAGGCTTACTGCTCTTGATGGGCGATCTGGGGCTAGCCGTCTGCGTATCTGATTCCGATGACGTGACCATTTATCACCTTCTACCTCTACTTCGTACATAACTCGACCAACCCTTCTGACCACTCTCGCTTCTACCCAAGGACCATGGTTCGTTCTGTAGTCGCGGGCAAACACAGGGCATCCCACTACGTAAGCGGATTGTCTTTGCTGCTTTGTCTCTACTGATGAGGGTGCATTAATCGGATGCATCAGGCTGTGGATCGTTTTCAATCTTCTTCCCATCAGGATTTCAGCTGGGGACTTTTGCTCCGGTAACAATTCATTTGGTGTTGTCCGATAGACGTACAAGAAATTTTGTAACGCTTCGGCTGGCGTCCCCTCCCCTTTTGACTTAAGCAGTGCTCTTTTAAACGTATCCACAAACCTTTCCGCCTGTCCATTCGATTGAGGGTGGTATGGTGGCGAGCGTAAGTGTTTAATGGCTAGCCGTTGACAGAAATTCTGGAATTGGGAAGAGGTGAATTGAGAGCCATTGTCGGATACGATCACATCTGGTATGCCATTTCGTGAGAAAATTTCAGTTAGGAGCTGTATAGTCTTAGTTGTAGTGGGCGGCATAACGGGGCTGATTTCCGGCCATTTAGAAAAGGCGTCGACGACAATTAAATACATAGTTCCATTTATTGGGCCAGCGAAGTCGACATGTATCCTGGACCAACGATGCTCAGGTTTGGGCCATGAAACCGGCGGAATTTTGGCATTCATCTTTGCCGCCTGCTGACACCGCATGCATTTTTCAACCAACGCTGTGACATGTTGATCCATGTGAGGCCAGTATGCATAACTTCTGGCATTGACAGTTAAGACGACCAATAGGAAGCAACATTTGTAGTGACATTGACAGTCAGGACAACCAATAAGAAACAACATTGCAGCACGTGACATTGATATCTACTAGGACGACCATAAAATTGACCAGTAAGGAATTAACCAATAGGAACTGACCAATCATTCTCTTAGGATATTGGATGAATTATCCTAACAATACATGTGTATCAAAGTTGGACACAGAATGAAATCGAAACCAAACTCACCACAATTAGACGTTGTTGTATTGATAACATTGTCGTCATTAGATTTCAATGAATTCGGCGTCAGTGCACCAGTGGCGGCAGGCACTGCTACTGAAGTCAAGCTAGAAACTAAAGCGGATAAGATTGCAATTGCTGTAAAACATGAATTATTTGATGATGATGACGATGATAATGAATTCAATGTTGGAATATCAGATATAGGTGTAGGGAGATTTGATGTTGTGGTTGATTGCTGATTGGCAGTGGTTGTGACTATTATGGTTGTGTTGTTGGAAGAATGAAGTGTTGTAGTTACTTCGTTTGGTGTAGATGATGCCAGGCTGTCATCAGTTTTTATGCTGGTGGGTTTTTCTGGAAAGAAAGGAAGTAAAGAAGGAGAAGATATTCATAATTTGTATTCTTGGGAAAATAGAATCTCAAATATATATAAATATAAGCCTCGGCGTTCACGTGCAACAGCGAAGGTCTTGGGTTTGAACCATGCGAGTTGCAGGAGTCGTGGATGGGCCCTGCCACTGATGGGGGCGGCAAGACCAAAACATGGCACAAATCCATGAGGTCATTGACAAGTGGACTGAGTCATGTCGATAGGTGTGGACTACCTGGTTAGGGTCCACGAGATGTTAGTAATTGATAGTTAGAGACCATGAATGAAATGGCTCAAAACTGTTTGCAATGGCGCCGGTGCATTCATTCTTTGCGTTCTCGCAAACCCTAGACTTTGAATTCTTCATCACTCTATCTTTATCTCTTTAGGTCTTTTCCACAAGATTCTACTTCTTGAATAATATTTTCTAATCCTAACCTCTCCGACTACTGCTAATACCTTTACTACCTCTGCTACTACTATGGGATTTGAATTGACAATTGCATCTCTGTGTGCTAATGTGGTATGGCAACATGAACAGACGCACGTACGTACGAGGTTATACGTTGCTACTAATTGATTGACTGCCACTGATGAGTAGTCATATACCAAGATGAAACGGCTGTGCAGTGCTTCCAGGTCTAACATTGATCGACTCATGATTTCAGTAGTATATAAGAAAATACAAAATTATCTGGTTTTTCATAGGCCCCATGAAGTCACTGACAAGTGGACTGAATCAAGTTAGTAAGTGTAGACTACGTGGTTGGGATCCGTGAGATGACAGTAACCGATAGTTAGAAACTTTGAATGACATGGCTCTAAATCGTTTGCAATGGAGCAGGTGCATCCACTCTTTGTGTGCTTTTTAATTCAAACCTTCTGAATTCTTCATTATCTCTATCTTTCTCTCTCTAAAGTTATCTCACCGAATTATACTTCTCAAATCATATCTTCGAACACTAATCTTCTACATTACTGCTAACTTTTACTACCTCTACTACTATGGGATTTGAATTGATAATTCTGTGCTGATGTGATATGGCAAATCGGACTGACGTATGTACATAGGAAGTTCTACGTTGTAACTTTTATGGATGTTAGATCCCCAGAACTAGCTTGATAAATGCCTTATTTTGGATTTCACGTTTGCCAGCATGGGCTGATCGGTTGACCTTGAGATTTCATTTCCGACCAGGAAAATGCATGACTGTGATTGGCTGCTGTGTAATTTAGTGTGCTATTTTTGTGACTGTCCAAAGAACATTTCTATGATGTATAAATAAACGAGAGTTGTGTGCTTGATTGTACTGTGATTGCTGGATGTTATAGAATATACTTTCTACGCTTACCAAGACTTGTGTTTTACCGTTTGGGATTCAAGGTAGACTACCTGGACGCTGGTAATTGTCTCGTTCGCGTTCTATCGACTAAGGTGAACTCGTAATAGCTTCAAGTGTACCTAGTGACGAACATAACAGTAACCGACTGACTTTCATAGTCTCCTAATGAGTCTATCCCATCGTTATGCGTCAATTATTGCCATACGTTTAGAACAAAATACTAAACTTTCAGTCAACTTTAATCCATTCCTCTTTACCATGCCTTTCAAGGCCTAAAATCCGTAACCAGCCTTCAAAAATATGAATAACATACGTAGTCTAAATAGAAATTTCGATCGAGTGCATTGTACCATATAAATAAAAGAATTAACAACTAAACATTGTCTTCTCGTTGCAGTAGCGCTGTTTACGAAATTAACAAGACGAAGAAGAGGAATGTCGAGAACTTGAACCAAGTTGATGGTGAGCATGGAGGAAAGTTAGAAAACTCTGATTCCAAATCAATGCTGTGTACATGGGTTCCAAAAAAGGTGTATGAACCTACTACTGCTCATTGGGTACCATGAAACAACAGTTCCACTGTCTTGTGGATTAGATCTGTGAAAGAAAAAATGCTTAATGAGCGATTTCCTAACAAAATGACATGTTTCAGTTTGGGCATCTGGAAAATATTCTATCTTATAAACAAATTCAATGATTTGTATGGCCTTTTTTATCACTAGTGATTAACTTTAACAAGTATCATAGATTTCTCAATGAGAAACTATTACCGACAAAGTTTATCTTGAATGAATATAGTTCGGAAGTGTTTTATAACGTGAAGTTAAACTATCCAATGACTGATTGTTGAGTTATAGTTCTCAAACTTATCTATCTGTCTATCTATCTATCACATTTTACATAGCTAGAAGTAAGCATTGAGATGGTGGAGGAAATCAGTAACTCAGATAAATGAGATTATGGTGGAGTTTCGTTCTCTGAGCTTGACGTTCTAGTTGTAGGGCATTCATTGTTCTTTTAGAATAAGATTGTCATTGTCAGCATAATCAATACATGCGGACAACGGTGAATACATATTCGATTGGGAAAAATGTTAAAATACTGGATAGGGGAAGTGCCTCAAGTACCTCAAAATAAAATCACAATACTTATTACTGTGATTTTATTCTTTGAAAAATTAGCTACTATTACAAAGAAGATTTTCTTTTTAACATGATTTACTGGATACTACTAACAACATAGGTTTCAAGTAGTATGCAGCGAACAGTCACTTATAAATCAATACTGAAGAGAGAAAACTGTCAACGAAATCGAATTGTATCACTTACTTTCTATACAACAATGATATTTGAAACTATTGAGACGAAGAAAATGTTGTCCGCATTGTGCACAATCGTAAGTTCGAATCCCTACACACACACACACACACACACACACAAAACAAGAAGACATAATTATTACAAATGACAACATTATTAAACTTTCAGAAATAAACTTTATGTATATATATATATTATCGATATAACAATAAAATGGTTAACTTAACTTTATGTCAGCAACAGAAACTATCAATGATGAGAAGACCATGGATAACGTTACTGAGAAAAGTGTAATGAAAGCATGAAACAGTCTACTTCCCAAGTGGTGTGCGCTACTTATAAGTAGTATATGACGCGAGTGTAAACGTAATGTCTGGCAGCAGAAGATGGGGGAAGATCAAGAAACGAAGAGTGGGGGGAACACAATGGAATTTGTATGAAACGCATGAATAGTGAGTGAAATGTCAAACAATGGATTGATGAGGGATTGAAGATTTGCAAATTAACCGTTAACGATATGGTTTTCCTATTTTACTGAGTAACTCTGTAATTTACGACAAATACAATTCGGTTGCCCTCACTTTTGTTCTCCTTCACTACACCCACAACTCTGTCAGCTGCACGCTGAAAATTGATACACACATGAGTTCAGTTCACGTTGCCATACCATATTAGCACACAAAGAGATGGAATCGTGAATTTAAATGTGACAGTAGTAGAGGCGGTATAAGTATAAGCAGTAATAGAGAAAATTACCGGTTTGGAGATGTGATTTAGCAAGTATATAACCCAGTGATTTAAGAAAAGATAAAGTTCGGGAGGAACTGAGAAGATCGGAGTTTGAAAGAAGACAATGAATGGATGCACCTGTATCGTTGCAAACAATTTAGAACCATATCATTTAAAGTCTGTAACCACCGGTTACGACTGTCTCACCGGTCCAAACAACTAAGCCGACACCTAATAACATGAATCAATCCACATATCAAAGGCTGCATGGATTTGTGCCATGTTTCAAGCTTCTTTCAAACTGCGCCTAGAGCTCTTCTAGGGTTACTGCTTGTCCCAGGCCAAGAGAGAGTTTGGGTGGGGGGGGGGGTTGGATATTGGGTTAGCGACCCCGTTCCAAAGAAATCTAACGCGTCAAATAAGAAACGCTAACAAGAAAAATGATTTCCTGGGCGGCGGCCTATCCTCCAGTAGATGTAGCAAGCGTAAGTAAGTAAGCTTTGTTCTAGCCTACTTTCTACATCACACAACATCACTTGTCGAGGAAGTCGGTGGCACATGTCTCAAACAATTCAGTTGATAAAGATTCACTATTTCGTTAACTGCTTTGCCAGCCTTAACTACTACCCTTTTTTAAAAACTGTATTGCACACTCATTGGTCCAAATATAAACAGATTATTTGTTTTGGAGACACTTATGATCGAATACTAGTTAAACCAACGAATCTCCTCTACTCATTCACATCCGTATAGTAGGAGAGGGCGAACTGACGAGCAATACACTCGGGTTCTTTGCTTAGCTAATAGATATATCTCACCTAGGATGCCTTAAGTGATATGGTTGTGACCAATTCGGTCTCGTGTGCTTTTATGGGTATGAGGGCGGTTGTCACTTCCCGGCTGCCTACACCGTGGAAGGTTGTTTCTTGAGGCACCTGTAAAAGAAGATAGATTGGTGTTGTCTGGTTGCGTGACCGCAGAGCCCAAGGGACAGTTGCTTGAGGCCGGTCACGCATGGCCTTTCTGTTAAAGGTTTTTTGAGTATTAGCTCCGCTCTTAAAAGCCTTAAGTGGGCACCCTTAACGCTGGAGACGGAAATCCGTGAGATAGGGTGAGGTATGACATTTTTAGGGTCAACGTTTTCTAACCCTTCCTTCCTTGTGAGAAGGCAACATCACGGCAGATGCTGGTTGTCCGAGGGAAACACCTTACTGTTATCACACCCCTCTAGAGTCAGGATCACGACTTCGCCCTTAGACCTTGAGTAGAAGCTTTTGGTCTCATCGTTCTCCAATCGACCTGCCTGGCATGGTAGAACGTTCAGGAACATATATTCCAACCAATATAGCTCAGTTGGGCCATGATGATAGGCAAGCCCGACCACCACATCAGCTACGGTCGGGAAGGATGCAGGGTATGCATGTGTAAAAACATCGTGTAACTTAATAAAGACTTCAATATGTAACCAAAAAAGGCCGAAAAAAGAATTTCTTGTTTCACTAACAACTTACTCTGATGTGCAGTACGTTTATGATAACGTAAATGTGTAACAGTTGTAAATCGTTCGTCACACTGCTCACAAATATGTTCCAATGTATCTAGAAATAAAAAAGTCAAACAAATCAAGTCTGATCATCAATTTAACCCAGTATAATTATCAAATCTAACCAGTTGCCTTTTTATGTAGCATTTAGAGAATGACCAACTTACAGAATTGGTTTATGCTAGATAATTGAAGGAAAAAACATTGAAATGAATCAGGTAACAACTCTTAAAACTGATTTATAGATTGTTATTATTATTATCATTGTGTAATGTAGTCGTCAGTGTGACATGTTTTCTGTATGTGAACTATATGTCTGCTTCAAAAAATATAAGGAATTTTCGTGGAGACTGGAGATATCGGACTTGTGTATAAAGAAAGCGGTAGGATTAAAAAAAAACCAGGACGTAGCTGTCAATAAGGATTCACAGCTGACTCAAACATCCATGAAGTCACTGACAAGTAGACTGAGTCATGTTGGTAGATGTAGACTACCTGGTTGGGGTCCGCGAGACAAAAGTCATCAATGGTTAGAGACCTTGAACGACATGGCTCAAAATCGTTTGCAATGGCACAAGTGCATCCATTCTTTGTGTTCTCTCAAATCCTAATCTTCTGGAATTGTCAGCACCTCTTCCTTTGTCTTTCTAACGTTATCTCACTGAATTATATTTCTTGAATAATATCTTCAAACCCTAGTCTTCTTCATTACCATTAATACCTTTACTATCTTTATCACTATGGGATTCGATTTGACATTTGCGTCTTTGTGCTAATGTGGTATGGCAACCTGAACTAATGTACATACGTACGAAGTTCTACGTTGCAACTGATTGATTGACTGATATATATGCATGCCTTTCCCTTAGAAACTAGATTCATCTACTGACCAATGATATGCATTCGTCCTTTAGTACATTTCTGATTGGCTTATTACATCAATCATATTTTATATATTATTATCAATCATTTTTTCTGCATGGAAATAAAACACATTTCCTCTATTTAGTGATCGAAGATTATTTGAAGACTTGCGTCAAACAATTTCAATTTCATAATCAGCCACTTACTTTTCTCACTTCAACAGTTGAAACAGCACAGACCCACACAGAAGCACACATAATCATAAATAGACTAACACATTGTGATAAACTATGAAAACATTAACTGTTCGGTAATACAGATTACAATACAAACATCAAGAGAGTTTTTAGAACTACAAAAGATACGTGTATTTTGTAAACGTTTATCTATGCAGGTTATTCCGGATCAGTTGGTCAGATATTATCATCCACAGTAACCTACTGTGATAGAGAACTAACCAGCTTCTATAGCTAAAGGAAAAAATTAGGAAAACATACTAGAGCTGGATAGAACACACACAACTGCGTCACGAGGCTCCCTATCATAAATGTAAGAAGCTCTCAGTGACATTGTTCAAAAGCAATCAGAATGATACTTATAATGTGTGCAATTTTATGTGGAGCCTATATGGCTTGTCCAAAGCCGTAGCTGATACCTTGACACGTGGTGGTCGGGCTTGCCTATCGTAATGACCCAACGGAGCTATATTGGCTGGAATATATGTTCCTGAAGGTTCTAGCATGCCAGTCAGGTCGATTGGAGAATGATGAGACTAAAAGTAGCTCTCAAGGTCTGAGGGCGAAGTCGTACAAACATCAAAAGAGTTCTATGGGAGAGAGCTGAGATATTTTTTAGAACTACAAAAGATACGTGTATTTATAAACGTTTGTCTATGCAGGTTACTCTGGATCAGTTGTAACCTACTGTAGTAGAGAACTAACCAGCTTCTATAGCTAAAGGAAGAAATTAAGAAAACATACTAGAGCTGGATAGAACATACCCAACTGCGTCACGAGGCCCCTCATCATTAATGTAAGAGACTCTCAATGACACTGTTCAAAAGCAATCAGAGTGATACTATAATGTATGCAATTTTATATGTCGAGCTTACATGGCTTGTCCAAAGCCTTTAGATTATTTAGTCAATCTATTCTACTGAAGTTATTACAATCACAGCGTTCAACATTATCTATTATTTTGGTAGTTTTTATTCGAGTTACTGGGTTACTTGGCTTATCGCATATCTAGCCTATTTTCTTCATCGCAAACAATTAGCTCGTTCGCCTTCTCCACTTCACCTTTCTCTGCTCGTATACTTTTCATTCTTATATCCATCTTCATGAACGATGACTTGAAGAAAAACTCATTCAATCTCGAATCCGTATTTGGCTTTTCGTATTGTAGCTGTCGCACAAACGCATTCGCCTAAGCATATGGATACATAGAAAAATGGAAGGATAGATTTATTTCATAGCATATAGCAGTTGGATTGCCGGCTATTAAACTAGTGAGCCCTACTTCAGTCAGTGAGTCAGTCAGTTGCAACGTAGAACTTCGTACGTATGTACATTAGTTCAGGTTGCCATACCACATTAACACAGAGACGCAAATGTCAAATCAAATCCCATAGTGATAAAGATAGTAAAGGTATTATTGGTAATGAAGAAGACTAGGCTTTGAAGATATTATTCAAAAAGTATAATTCATTGAGATAACGTTAGAAAGACAAAGGTAGAAGTGTAGACGATTCCAGAAGATTAGGATTTGAGAGAGCTCAAAGAATGGAGCACTTGCGCCATTGCAAACGAGCTATGCCGTTCAAGGTCTCTAACCATTGGTGACTTTCGTCTGGCGGACCCCAACCAGGTAGTCTACATCTACCAACATGACTCAGTACACTTATCAGTGACTTCATGGATTTTTGCCATGTTTTGGTTTGGCCGCCCATAACTTTCTTCCAACCTATTCCTACACCACAAAACATAGCTCATCGAGGCAGTCGGTGGTTAGGCATCCACAACACATGTCCTAACAACCTCAATTGATGGAGTTTCACCACTCCATCTATTGATCTGCCATCGTTACCTAGTGCTCCTTCCTAACGACAGCATTGCTTACTCGGTTTAGCCCTACTTCAGATTTAGACCAGCCACTAAAATACACTTGTTATCTGATCTCCTTTTTTCCTCTGTATAATAAATGTTAACAACTTGACACCATTCTATGTTAAAAATAAGTTTTGCTTACAAATTAAACCAAAAACAATGAAAAAAAACAACAACATGAATATAGGATAGTGAATTACAAATGAATTCTTTTGCTTACCACCATCACTATTATTATTATTATTATTATTACAGCATAATGTAGAATGTGATTTCCATTCTTTGAGTGTAGAAAATGTAATTCCACATGTAACACATTGTATGGATTTTTCATCTTAATAAATAACAACAAAATGAGATTTTTGTAAGTACCTCTTGTTTTATAATTTTTTTTAAAAAATAAGAAATTTGTAGGTAAGATTGTGAATTTTGCATCAACTGACTTCCAAACCCAACCATTGTGCAGTTTTAAGATGTTATATTATAGCAGAAGGTGAAGAGCAACCATCTAAGACATGGTATCATTGCGTAGGCTTCTTATCAGCTTGCGCCTAATTTAAACTCCGCTCTTCATCATACTCAGAGCCCGATAGGATGAGTTTTCGAGCATCCATAGTTAGGGTCCGCGAGACAAAAGTTACCAATGGTTAGAGACCTTGAACGACATGGCTCAAAATCGTTTGCAATGGCGTAAGTGCATCCATTCACTGTGATCTCTCAAATCCTAATCTTTTGGATTCGTCAGCACCTCTACCTTTGTCTTTCTAACCTTATCTCAATGAATTATACTTCTTGAATAATATCTTCAAACCCTAGTCTTCTTCATTACCATTAATACCTGTACTATCTTTATCACTATGGGATTTGATTTGACATTTGCGTCTCTGTGTTAATAATGTGGTCTGGCGACCTGAACTAATGTACATGCGTACGAAGTTCCACGTTGCAACTGACTAACTGACTGACATCAGTTCAGTATATGCTATTTAAATCCATCGCTTCTCCCTAACCTTATGGTTTACCTTGCTAGCAGATATAACTGCTGTTTTCACAGCGTTTCGGATATCATTCCAAGCTGCATCGAAGTGAGAATCACCTACATAACCGCATAAATGATTTTCTATTTGCTCCTGGTTTTGCTACTATCAAGCTGATCCCTAAAAGGTTTCATTGTGATGTCTTTCCTATGTCCAGTGAGAAGCAAACAAATACGCGCTTGCACTACAGCATAGTCTGAGTCTGAACATGTACCCTAGAATGGGCAACAGTCTTCTATCGAATCCCTCCATCGGTGGCTGATAGCGATGTGACTGAGTTGTAGTGATCTGTATAGTATACCAACTAGTTATATGCTCTGCATGGTTTCGAATTTCGAGGAAGAGAATCGCATCCCGAACATGCTTGTATTATTGTTTAAGGTCGTCAAAAGACTGCATTTTGTCAGCGTCGTCACCAAAGAGAACTATAAGATCAGCATATTCTGAGTGAATAAGTGAATTTCCCGGTAAAAGTTCAAAACTCCGGAAAAGTCAGATGATAAATCTGTCGTACACAAAAGCAAGTTAATGACAAAGTTAAACAAGAATGGAAAGAGTGGATAGGCCTGACAAACAATACTTGAGGCAATCAATTCTGATAACAGTTTGACATAAGCTCCGACTCAACCAGTAATGTTCGAGTAGAGAGCCTATAAAAAGTCAATATACTTCATTAGTACTCATTTCAATGACAAACACTGCAACAGAACCTCATGATCAACAGAGTCCAATGCCACCTTAAAGTCGAGGAGTACAACTATTGTCGAACGCCGAAATGTGTATCTGTGTTTCAGGACCTGACGCTTCTTCATCTTATCTATTTCATTTAAATTACTAAGTCAGCTCCTTCTTTAGCTTATTTGAAGTCTCTCATCAAATGTGACCTCACTGCTGTTCATACAAACTTATGACAACTGACAACTTATTTTTTTAAAACTCTAACGTCAATTACTTCGCATTATATCATAGCTCATTGTTGTTACACTTAATTATAAATAAGTTTGTTAAGGAACTGATGAAATTCGATGTGTGAAATTCTCGCTTTATGACTATACTACTTATTAGTA